TTGCATCGCGAAGCTACACTTCTTTGAACTGATCTTCAGGTTTGCCATCCTCAAAGCCTCAAATACTTTCTCCAAATGCCCCAAATGCGCACTGAAATCATCACTTTAAACGAGGATATCATCCAAGTATACCGAGCAGAAATTCCCAATGAATGGCCGCAGCACAACGTCCATCAGCCTCTGAAAGGTGCATGGAGCGTTGCATAGCCCAAACGGCATCACCCTGAACTGAAATAACCCCAGTGGCGTCGTAAAAGCCGTCTTCACTTTGTCCCCTGGTGCTAATGCTATCTGCCAGTAACCCCACTTCAAATCTATCAGCGAATACCAGTGTGCCTTCCCAATCTCGTCCAGCAAGTCGTCTATCATTGGTAAAGGATATGAGTCCTTTACCGTAGCCTCATTCACCTTTCTCAAGTCTATGCAAAACCTGTCGCCCCCATCTTTCTTCTTTGTAATCACTGGACATGAAACCCACGGACTTTCTGATGGCTCTATGATTCCGTCCTCTAGCATCTGCTTGACCTCCCTTATGATAACCTCTCGTTCTTTTTGAGACAACCTATACGCCCTCTGTTTAATTGGAGGATGATTTTCTGTGTAGATCCTATGCCAAACCAAATCAGTGTATCCCAGCCTCTCATTTTCCCACAAGAAAACGTCTCTGTATGTTGCCAGTAATTGGGTGATTAGCTGCTTCTGAATTCCGGTTAGTCTCTTACCCTTTTGAATAGCTCCCAAGCCCGTGAGAATACTCTCCACTTCCGAGCTCGTACCACCCATCGTATTGCGCCAGTCTACCATTGCGTCCAATTCTGATTCACTTACCAGGCTTTGAATCTCATTGTACAAAGCCAGATCACTGCTCAGCCCTAGCTGCTCATCTCGAAATACTTCCACTACTTCGTCCACGGCCTTTTCTTCAAAAGGCTCCTCAAAAAGTACCTCTAATCCTAGTCCATCTAGTTTGCCTGCATCCTCCCAGTCTTCAAAGCTAAATGCCTCTGAAGCCTTCCAAAATTCCTCTACCTCAGGCAGCACGGCCTCTTCTATTTCCGACCATTCCTCACTCCAGTCCGACTCCTCATCGAACTCCATTTCCTCCTACGGGTCATTGTTAAGGCTGTCTGCACCTCCTGAATCCACTTCAGTTTCCAAATCAGACTCTTCTTCCCTCTGTTTATCTTGCAATTTCACAAGGGAACTGTGCCCTAGGAGCCGGCCTCCTTTCAAACCTTGCCCCCTCTTTTTGTTCTTTTCTTTCGTTGATCGTATCCAATGGTTCTATTTCCAGATAAGCTGCCATCCCAGTACTTGCTTCAAATGCTAGTGGAAGGGTTCCTTGATGCTGATGATCAACCCAGAAGTTCAAAGTCCTGGAATGGTAGTCTATGTCAGCCCCAATGACGTGCAGAAAGTCATTCCCCAGCAGAACATCGTAGTTCGTAGCTTTCACTATATGAGCGTCCAATGCTACCTCGAATTCCCCAATTTTGATAGATATTCTGGGCAACAGCCCCATCGGGGTCTCTTTCTCCCCTGACGAATTCCTGAAGCTACACCTTGATGGCAAAAGTTTACCCATCAGGTCCAACCTCCTAGCCACCAGCTGACTGATCAAAGTATGAGAACATCCTGTGTCTATGTACCCTTCTACTGGCAGGGCCCAGTATTTCAACAGGTGCTCTAGCCACAGTATACTCCGAAAGCAGCACCTGGGCCTCTGCATGATGACTCTGACTACTACCAACTGCCCCAGTCTCACTGATCCCAGCTTTTGGCGTTGTCAAATATGTCAGCAGCTCTTGTCGAACCTTAGGCGCCAGATCTATCAAGGTCTGAAAGTCCACTCGGGCCTGTGTTGACTTTAGTTGATTCAATATTGAGTACGTTTCAGCCTTTTGCTGAACCACAGCCCGACTGGCACCAGTCTGATACCTAGCTGGCCTCGTGTAACTCCTTGTTGCAGAACCGGCGCCCTCTACTGGAAATTGCCTTGAACCTCTGCCATCCGCCTGACTTTCATTCGGCTGCCCTTCTGCTGCATCCTCGGTCTGCCGCCTCGGTAAATTCAAAGGAAATGGAGTCCGCTTTGCAGGTCTCCCTTCCCCGTCGTCACCTCTTTCACGGGTTCTCTTCAGTGCTGCATACACATCTGCTATCAGTGCATACTCTGCCGCCGGCTCTAACTCCTGCTTCGAACCCTCTATCAAGTCCTTCACCCATTCACGTCCCTCAAAGAAGTCTGCCATCAGTGCTGACCCCTTTTGAACCTGCTTCTTTACCTCATCAATCTCCTTTATCAGTTCTTCAAAGCCTAAGTTTCCCGTTTCTGCAGCACCTGCAGAAGCTGCTGAGTCTGCTAACCCTGGGAACCTACCATCATTCTGTGGACAATCTCTTGCTATGTGTCCCCTCTGCCCACAGACATAACAACCATCCTTTCCATATTGCAGTGCATTCCTCTCTTCCACATGTGCCAACAGCTTTAAATTTTCTAACTTCTTTGCAATATCATCTACCTCACTGCGAACCTTCGCACTGGCTGAACCATGCCCACTTCCTGGATTCGGCCTGACTGGTGGACTCGGTTCTACCGGCCTTGTATTTACTGGCTGACTTCTAAACTCTGTTTCCCTTCCTGGCCCAGTATTCTCAGCCCTGCGCGCCGGTGGGACATACACGTTCTGCCGTGGTCTGCTCGAAGGACCCCTCCTTTGATCAAATGACTCTAGAGCTGTTCATACTTCCCCACTGATCAACTGGCCCTCTGTCGAACTCGATGGACTCGTAGTAATCCGCAGCCTCTACTGCCTCGTCCAGTTCCTGAGGAATTTTCATCTCGACTTTGTACCTTAAGCTCGGCCTCAGACCAGTGATGAACCTGTACATGAGCAAGTCATCAGACACTGCATCATCCAGCTTTGCTGCTAGGTATTTCAGCTCCTGCAAAAATGACTTAGCCCTTTCGCCAATCCTTTGTACCCTTGTCTCAAACTCCCTCCTGAGATTGAGCTTCGAACTCAGCCGTGAGAATCTTTTTACGACTTTATCTCCGAATTCATCAAACGTCCAATCATCGCTGTCCTTGTTAGACTCCAACCAATTATCTGCCTCTCCCTGCATGAATGCATATGCCATGCCTCTGCACTTTGAACCCACCCATGCGCTCGCCAGCGCTACCTTTTTGAACGTTCGCAGCCATTCCTTTGGATCATTTCTACCATTGTAAGGTGCAAGTAACCGGCTCAAGACCACGTGGTCCGAGCCATTCATTATGTCAGCCATCTTGTCTTCCTTTTGATACTTCTGCCCACCGGGCACTATATAAGTTATATACACTTGTACCTCAGCTGAAAATCCTCAGCGCACAGCTTCATTCAAGCGACGGTGAAGAGGCTATGTACCAGTGACAACCTTATACCACGTACAGCCCTTCTTACTAGGTTACCCAGCCTCCGAACAGGCTATTCCAAGTAATAACACTCTGCTGAAATCCTCAGTGCCACCACCAATCACAATCCGTGCCTCTATCAACAGCCTTGTCTCAAATCACTTTAGTAACCACAGCCTTCCAGGATTCCAGCCTAGCACTTGAATCATCCAATCGACTATGACTCTATCACTCTACAACCCTCAGTTATCTACAATGCCTAAGCCCCACGGCTGCCTTCGGCGCTTTATACTTAGCCGCAACAAGCCTGATCCCGAGTCTACCGAACCGCCGCTCACTTCCTGCACAATCCCTGGACAACCAGGCCCGCCGAGTCTGCTGTGCAGCACCTCAGGTGCTGGACAGGACCTCCGGCCTCGACTCTGACACTTCGTCGCTTGGCCGACTCGCTCGGCACTCTACACGTGGTAAAATGACATTAGCCAAATTCTCGACTCGCTCGGCACTCTACACGTGGTAAAATGACTTAGCCAAATTCTCGACTCGGCCGCCGACGCGTGCGGTACTTCACCAAAATTCTCGCGGCGACTTCCACGCAACCAGTATGAAGCACGTCAAATGTACACTCGTACACCGAAAATCCCGGTAATCCGTACACTCGGAACTCAAAAGTACACTCACTTTAACTCGACCCAATGATTAGATTGCCAAATCGCCAATGACTTAACCGTTCTGACACCGTCTGACACCGCCAAGTCCCTTAGTCTTATATCAACCCCTTCTAGCGCGATTATACTTCACCAAAATCCCGCAGGCTAGGATCTTATCCCAGGCTAAAAAGCTGAAATTTCACCCCTGATACCAACCAAGAGCGCACTCGCTCGACAATACACCCACGGGCTAACACCCATATAAAAATTCGCTCGCAGCTGAAGAGGCGCTGGGATTTGGCTAAGTCAGAATTAGCTTTCCGATAACTTCTCATCCAAGTTATGAGCTTCGAATTCGGATTCCGCCCAATTTATAGTTCGGGAATCACTCTATAAGTTCGATAATTTCTAATTCCTAGATCTCTGTCGAAAAGCAGCCATCGATTATCGACATTATCTATTTTATTCAAACAAACATTATAGACTGCTATGCTATCTGCAGCATACTATTTATCTACCTATTTCTAATGATTAAATTCTAGGTCTTCGTCTTCGATCTTCGGCTTTCTTCCCGTCGGAGTAGGTCGCGACACCCCGTAACGTTCCTGTTACGTCACCAGCCTGACATCTTAATGGTCTGAAGCGGCCTTCTGGAAGCTTCCAAAGCTCCATAGCCTATGAAACACCGTTTGCTTATATGAATATCCCTAAGAATCCTGCGAGGATCACGCTCCTCGTGCATGCAATCTCATAGCATGTCTTGGAATGGTATCATGCTTGAGCGCCACAATGACATGAGATTCATCATCCGACGACGACGCATTCACAGTCTTTGATCAGCCTATCTAACTGGGCCCAACTACATGTATGGCTTAATAACGAGTGCTAGCCATTGATTCCACGGAGTGAGGATATTGATCATGCAAGGTCGAACAGGAGCATGGATGATACACGCACGACAACCCATCAACCATGATTGCCAAAAGCTCTGACATCGAGAGTTACCATCTTGTATACACAACCGTAGATCGACTTCTGTACAAGGTTCCCAAACGCCCTTCCAATGGCTTGGAGGAAAACAGGCTACATTCAAGAGAATCCGCAATATATGACGTTACAAAACCCGCTCTTTACTACTCAGATACGAAGACGGTATCTTGGAAGTAAACTGCGGCAGCATGTCATCCCTTTTCCGCTTGAGGAAATTGAAGATGCCGAGAAGCGTTCCCCTTGAACGCTTCCCACCGCCCATGTAAGTGGGATCGGACTCTGCGCACACAAGCAAAAGTTGTCAGCTCCCCTTCGTCGCTGAAACCACCAGTGAAGCGGAAGAAACTCGTTTACCAGATTTGCATGCTTCGCAAATAAAGCATAGCTTCAGGTGCTTTCAGGATCCATTGCTGAGTCGCCTTACCGAATGACAGCTCATCGATGAAATATTCCTTCGAACTCACCTAAGAACCGAAGTTCCCCGCTTCTGTCTGATTTTAGTCTTTTCGCCCTTTCCGAACATCTTAGAGTTCCGGTATTGCCAAGGACGAAGGACAAAAAACCATACAGGCTACTTGAATAACGCAACGGGGGATCGATAGACGACTCTAAGGTTTGCGAAGTCTGCCCCAGTGCCACGCAATCCAAACTTTCTGTCCTTTTCCCTCGAAAGTCATTAAGCCAGACCTTAAGAGCATATATCAGAGCTCGGTCAAAAGATACTAGTGTCTTGTTTTCAGTGACTCGCTCCCTCGAAGGAGTCGTAGCTGCTGTAGGTATCAAAATGCGTCCTTCCAGATTCAGTGTCTCGATCAAAAGTGCAATTAGAACCGGTCATTTGCCAGCGGACACCGACAGAAGAGTGACAAGCTATGCAAGGATTTTTAGAGGGAGCCCCACACACAACGACGTAAGCTTTCTGCACTTCGGACTGAGCGACAACAATCAAAATGCCAGCTTCTCATTTGGTCCGACACGGCCGCTTTCGAGCCCCAAGACTTCTTCATATCCCGCAATTTCTCTCGTGTACATGAACAAACAATCAAAGACACCGATACCATTCCTGTTGGGTGCAGCCAAACTTATCTTCCGAGTACGTGAGCAGTCTGCTTTCCGTAGCACCACAGTAAAACGGACCGTTTCAGATTCAAACTTCTTAACAGTCACCCTGTCTGATGTGTATCCCTTTAGAAGCGCCGAGTCACCCGGCTCACGGGAACGCGCTCTTGTTCGCCGCATAAAAGCAAAGTGAAAAAGCCCGTTCAATATATTCGAAATCAAGACAAATCTCACTTTGTCTGGTGTAACCGCCGTAACTAGCGCCGGGCACCCCAGCGTCGGTGGCATACTGTCGTTAGCCGGATAAAAAGGAAGAAAGAGAAATAAAAGTTCCAAATTTGTTCTTCAACCAATCTCACCTTGTCTGGTGTAACCACCGTAACTAGCGCCGGGCCCCCCGGCGCCCGGTAACACGCTCTCGTTCGCCGCGAGCGAGATGAAGTAAGCGAACGGGATGAGCCACACCATTATCAGGAAGAAGCCGATGACGTACTCCAACGTCAGGTACGGCCGCTGATAGTCATAGGCGAAGAAGCGGAACCACACGATGTGGCTCAGAACGACCAGACCTGGAAAGGGGCGAAAGCTTTTCAATCAAAGAATGGTAGCAAAATGGGCTCACGAGCGGTGGACTCCGAAATCGGAGAATGGAACCACACGATGGGGCTCAGCACGACCAAACCTGGAAAGGATCGAGACCTGACAACCAGGAATTGCATGCAAACGAGCAGTGGAATCCAACATCGGAGAAGCGAGATTACACGGCGTCGCTCAAAACGACCAGACCTGGACAAAAACAAGACTGGTCAATTTGGAAATGCTTGCAAAATACACAAACGGTGTAATCCTCAAGTGAAGAAGCAGAATCACACGACGTGGCTTTAAACGGCCAGACCTGAAAAAGGACGAACATGGAAATTTGTCCAATCAAAGTGCTTGCAACATGCAGTCACCGAGGGTGGAAGTCTTAGACGGAAAAGTGGAATAAATGTGGCTCAGCACGACCAGGCCCGAGAGCGAACGGAAACCGAGTCACTTCGATCAAAACCAAGTCGAATCAAGTGCTTTATGCCAGCGAGAGGCTGTAACGAGCGCTGAGAGTCTCAGACGAGAAAGCGAAGCACATAATGTTCTTCAGCACCAATGGTCTGGGCGGTAAGAAGCTTGGGGTTTCAAGATCGAGTTCATGTGAAGTCTGTCAACAAAGCTCTCGCTGGTGCTTTCGAGGAAAATTTGTATCGAAGAGTTTTGCGTTTCGATACTGAGTTCGCCTGATTTTCCAACTATGACGACGACAGATGACACCGATTGCTCTTGGTATGCTAACAACACCACTCTGCCTTCATATCCTGGCAAAACAACGGCGCGACGGATCGAGTCGGTTGAGCCGGTATGGCGAGTCGTCAATGGTATCTTAATAAGAAACGGACCATTCGACTTTTTACAATCCCTGGTGAAAGCTCTGTCTTGTCATCTCGATAAGTGTGCAGCTCAATGCTTCCGCGATTACTCACAATGGGAAGAAGCACTGGCCGAAGTCAAGCTGGCTGAAAGTTGCTGGTGAATGCATTCAATATCCGAATCCCTGCCTATTCCTGCTGCCTTGAAAGCATAAGTTGCGGACTCAGGACTTGAGCCTCGGCCCAGCAAAGACTACTAACTCCCCCCCGGGAGTGCAATGATATGGGATCGATCGGGATTACTGTTATTGAATCTTCTCGAAGCCTTTGGTTCTACCCTCTGCCCGCTTTCGATGCTGGCAATAGCTGGAACTACGTTGTAATGTGCGTTCATTTAGCCAAGCGAACTTGATGCCCAAGCACAAAAGTCCGGTAACTGCTGTATCTGTCCAAATCTTTTCACCAGAGAAATGACGTTGAACAGATTGCCAAAAAGGTGACGTTTACCGGAAGTGAGACCGATTTGTACCAACGGCAAGCACAAACGGATTCTGACAACATCCGCATAAATCGCCTTCCAGTGAAGATTGGATTGAAGGAAGTTCGAAGAGCCCATTCTCACCGACACTCCCAAGAAAGTCCGGAGACGTGAGAGAAATGTACGGGAAGGTCTTGAGCAGCCGGTAGTACACGACGTGCGAACCGATCCCGACCGCAATCGGGAGCACCGGGAGGCGGTCCCAGAGGAGGAGTGCCACGTGGATCCCAATCACTACCTGCAAAAAGGCAAAGTTGGACATTGTTCGTAAAAAATCGACCTTGATAGAAAGAGAAGACCCAAATCGCGTCTTAGGCCATTTGTCTTGCAAAATCGACCTTGGATAGAAAGAAAAGACTCAAATCGGGTTGTAGGCAATTGATCCCGACCGTGTTGGGGAGCACCGGAAGGCGGTCTAGAGGAGGAGTGCAACGTGGATCCCCCTCACCACCTGCAGCATAAAATGATGAAATAAAATGACTTTCCCAAAGACTCAACCTTGGAAAGAGAGAGAACCATCAGCCCCGCCGCTTAAACAATGGATCCCAACCGCCAAGCGAGCAAAGGGAGGCGGTCTGAAGATGGATCCACCACCTGACTTGCGGAAAGTCGAAGTTAGACATTGGCACGCCAATTGCCAAAATCGACTTATTTTACGATTCGACGATTTGTATACGAAGGAAGAAGACTTGACCGCTTCTCAAGAGATTGATTCTGACCACAAATGAAAGAGCCGGTGCAAAGGAGGAGTGCCAATTCTGCATTTCAAAAGACTGGTTGAGAGGAGAGAAGGTAGGACCAGGCGATGTTGGCAAGTGTTCTGACACATCTACCCGTAACTTGATAAGGGCTTAGAAAGCTTGGATATGAACGGACGCCCACAGCTTTCAGATTCAGCGCTAGGCGGTACCAGAGGATTGGTGCTACTAAAGGCCAGAAAGAGAACAGCACACCACTGAGAGGTTTGCTGAAAGCTTCAGCAACCCCCCTGACTGCTCACAGAGCGGGTTCAAGGAGGATCAGTAGTTTTGGGACCGGGGCCGGAAATCTTGTTGGAAGGGCTGACATGGCGACGTTTGGGGGATTGACCCGAGGCTTCCCGATCAATGATTGGTCGAAAGAAACCTAGCCCAAAGTTTCGCCCCTAAACCCTTCCGCGTTGACCCTTCCAATAGCATCCCAGGACACAGTCCCAGGATTACTAACTCTCCTTAACCCCGCTCTTACCAAAATTGAGCTCTTGCGTTGGGCACAACAGGTAGCCACGCCCAGCGTGCTCCTGATAGGTGGGCTTTGCGTCGAATCAACGACACAGTGCGAAGCGCAAGGCTTTGCAATTCCAGGCACGCAACGAGCGGCCAAGAGAGCACAATAAACAGTTTGGCGCTGTACTTGAAAATTGAAGCCAAAGACCTGAAGTGGTTCCTAGAGCGTAGTCGTCACATGGGGATATATTTGTTAGTAGCAGAGTGAAGGGACCATGAGACTTTGCACTGCCCAAACCCACCAATCTGTCCCATCACACCTTTCTGATCAACAACCGAAGTGGTTGACCCAATCAGGTGGAGAGCAAAGTAAGACGGCAACATGCAGGATTCGAAGCTGGGGGGAACTTGAGTACTTTGATAGCTCCCGGTGGTTGAAGGACGTATAGAAAAAGGATCATCCTCTGATGAAATTGGGCGTAGGGGCTTGATGGAAGCATCACCGAAAGCTCACGGCGTCGCCCCCTTGGCCGATCACAACCTGGGACGGCACTGACGATTCAAATCTGGACAAATTGAACCGTCCGATCAGAATTGCAAACTCGCTTGCTACGCCCACTTCAAAAACGGTATCTTCCAGCTTTTTCATAGATCTTGATTTTCAGTTGCCTACCTTGATAGCGGTGCCGATGACCCTTTTGGTGAGCCGCGTGTATTCCTCCACAAGCTCCGCAATGTAGTACAAGCCGGTCGCTGCAAAAAATGTAGATGCAGATGCTAAATCAGGAGTGCAGAACGTAAGATTCGATCTCATGGCTGTCCAAAATGCAGGCTTGGTCTGAATGCGCAAGGAAAGCATAATGCTGTCGAGCGACAGCCTTGCAACGCAGGTGTGGCCGTAATGTTCCCGAGAAAAACGGTGCTGTCAGCAGCTGACGGAGAGCAAAACATGCTTTGACCCACGAAATGAATGCTGCCCGATGACTTTTAGGCTTTGCGTTTTAGGCTTTGCGTTTCGAAGTATGCAGGCACCGTTTGCACCTGTCCGGTGGCTGTCTAGAAATAAGGGCAAGAAGAAACTGGTGAAGGAAAAGGGGCAAGCTGTTTGGTGGGCCGTCCGAAACCTCCGAGTTGATTAAAAAGTTGCTGGAAAGGGCTTGATTGACGTCATAGAAGTCTCTCATGAGCTACCAAAGAACACGATCAGCAGGATTCCCAACACCTCTGCGATTTATGGGTTTTTTCCGCAAAATCAGAGTTGTGAAAGGTTACATGCAGAACCTTTCTGTGAGCAGCACCAAAGTGTTGTCGGTTGCAGCAGATTGCTTACCCAAGCACACCGCGAAGAACACTAAGAAAAGGTAGCCTCCGACGTAGACGATGAGTGTCGAAAGGGGAAACATGGCGTCCCGGTATGGCCTTGCAACTATAATGTTTGCTCTCACTTAAAAAGCGGAAGGCCTGAGAGCGGTCTTTCCTCACATTCACTCCATTCTATTCTCTTCACAGTGCCAGCAGAAGAGGAACCCCCGCTTCACAAGAGCCAGAACTGCTGAAAGTGGGCGCCCATGCCTCAACTAAAAGAGGTGTCCGATCGCTCTGACTACTTTACACTCAGACAGAACAAGAACTTGTGAGCTGTTCAGTGAGCTGTCTCTGGATCTCCCCTCATCTCTATCGACCAAGCACCTTTGGCTGATCGCAGCAACGCTCAGTGACACATCAGAGACTGTTTGTCGCCGGAATAACCACGTGGGACGATCCCATTGAATGCATTTCGAAGAAGGGGGGCATGTCATTTCGAGAATTGCAGACTGAGCTCTAGAGTCTAGCTAACTTTGAACTTGAAGTTATCACAGCTCGTCTTTGAAGTTCGAAGATCAAAAAGTCTGGATTCGTATCTCAGCCTTTCAGGGTTCCTGCAATTAGAGGGGCAACCAGCAGGGAAGGCATTCGATAGGTGCCCATACTCATAGCCAAGGAGGTATGGAAGGCAAGGGGGGCGCTTCGTCTGCCAATTTGGGAGATGAGACGAAACTGCAAAAAGCTCAGGAGAAGGCGGTTTGGGCCAAGACTATGCAGAATCTGCAGCTCAGGTATGTCAGCATTCATCTTGAAGAGCAGGCTATCACAGAATTCCTGGCGCATTCAGTTTCATGGGTCCACAATCCAGCTTACTTTGCAGAACCCTAATTTGGCATTGACCCTAATGAGCTCAAGAAATGTGCCATGGCGGGGGAATGCTTCTGTGACCCGCGCAGAAGAGGAGAAGCTGAGCTAGATGCTGTTTGATTGGAAAAGAGGTGGTCATTTTGCATGCAGTACAAGCTCCTTAGGCTCCTCTTCGATTGCTTTACATTGTGTACCACTTTATTAAAAAGCCCCTCCTGGAAAGGGACAGGGGCAGCTGTTGGACTTCACAGGTATCAGCTCACTAGGCGCTTTCTTTTGGGCACATTAAGAGATAGGAGAATGGGGGCAGAAAGTGAGCACTGGCAGTGGCCACCTGGGTCCCATTCTCATGACAGAATGCTTCTTTTCCAGGCTGCCTCTTTCTTTGTAGGGCGCAATTGCCCCACCTTTTCAGCACAAGACAAGCTCTGTTGGAGAGGATAGAAGACATTTGATCTTGGAAGCATCTTCTGAGCTTCTGATAAAGCTCACAAGCGAGTACCGATTCAAGACGCAAGCAGTCTAGACATCTGGCCTTGGGTAGCAGCGTTAATTGCCCAAGGAAGCCCCACAGAAGTGCTCATCCATGGGTCAAACAATCATGAGTACGATGGTCCCCTTTCTCAAACGAGTATTTATTCCTAGGCTTCCCCTCCATTTCCAACTGGTTTCCCTCCCCTCCTTTCTTTCAATTGCAGGCTTAAAGCCCATGAGCGTGAGATGGAGATTTTGTACAGCGGGAAAGCGAGCACAGGAAATGAGGAGCTGCAGCGGATTGCAGAGGCGGTGAAAGAGGCTGCGGTGGCTAGGCAGAGGCTAGGTAAGTCCCCATTACTACCTTTGGTGCCACTCCCTACCGACCCACATACAAGCTCCTTGTGGGGAGGAGTTAATCAACAATGAAATGGGTCAAACAATTCTCTGAGATCAGCCTCGTCAAAGTTTGGCAGCATGTGTGGGATATGACAACGACACTTAAATTCCTCTTTGCAGTCCATTCTATATGCCAGATCCATCAGCGTTAGAATCCTCCCGTATGCCCTCTGCGAACACTCAAAGCATCCAGTTGGACATTCGAGCTGCAAACTCCAGTGTCCAACATCTGATCATCTTTAAGCAATCGCTTGTTCACCACATCTTTTATGTGATTGCCGCAGACAAGCGCATGGCGGACCGGTTCGCAAGTTGCGGAAGCTGCAACGTCCAGTGTTGAACATTCAAACGGGCCCTGAAAAGTCCTCTAATAAGTGGCAAACTTGAATCCATCCTTGCTCGTCTTGAACATTGCAGATGAACGGATGGCCGATCGGCTGGAGCGTGTTCAGTCGGACGTTCGGACGCTGCAAACCCTGGTGTCCAACATTCGGACGGGTCCGGAGTACATGGACGAGCTGGCGCGGACGATGGATGCGAGCGAGGCTGACATCAGCGCACTCAAGGAGGAGCAGCAGGACAGGTAGGGGCGTAATCACAAGACAAGGTCTCCACATATATTGTTCTTTACAAAGCAATCCATAACACTTGCCGCCAAAAGGCCGTCACTGGTTTTTTCTTCACCTTGGAAGTTCTTTGTTCTGGTTTCTGTGCTGTGCGTGTCTCACTTTGTGTATTCCGCCAAGATTTCACTTGTATGAGGCTAACGCCCCCACGGGGGGCTCTTCACACGAGGCCTTTTTGCGCTGCAGGCCGGATTGTATCAACGGAAGTACGATCCGTCATTCTTCTCACTGACAGGGCCTTATTCTGACTCCAAAGACAGCAAAAGCATTAAAAGAGATGAAGGGAGTCGAGTCATGTTGCAACTTGCATTCCTGTTTTCGAACTGGGCAACTTTGGATTGCTCATGCATAAGCTTTGACCCGCAGTTACGACACCCTCTGCCGGCACGAGCGCGTTCTTTCAAAGGAGATCGACGGCTTTGGTTCACGCCTCGAGTCTTGGGATCGCGGTCCCTCGTCTCCAGAGGCCCTCCCCGCACGGACGAGAAGCGCTCCTCTGGGGGGGCGGTCCAAGGGGGCAAAAGAGGGGGGGGGACTGTTGCCGGAGGTGGAAGAGTACGAAGAGTTCGTCGAACGGACGGGGCTGATGGGGGGCTGGGATCCGGTGGACCATAAGCGGTTTCTTCGGATCTTAGCGGAGCATGGGGTGAGCAGAATGCAGATTGCATTTGTAATTTTGGTTTTCGTTGGCCTCCTCTGACCGACCTAAACCAGTCCTGTTGGTGGGGTGCTCCGTTCGTGGTTCTCATTGTCTGTATTTTCAAGTTGGCTTCGTCTCTTCATGGAGGCCTGAGTATAAATGGCTTTAGTACGCCACTCTTGGATTAAAAGATTCTGCACCGGACGGAAGTTGTGGTTGGAGAGCGCACATTCCCTGCGTTTATTGGACACTTCCTCCGTGGTTTTTGTTTGAGGTTAAACGAGCACTGGTCGCTCTTTGATCAAGCTGTTCGTCGATCGGATTGGTTATGATGAAGAGTGGTATCAAGCAGGACCGCCGTTCAGATTTTTCTTTCTTATAAGTTCCGAATGCAGGCAGAATTTGGTGCTCAAGCGACCCAGGGACGCTCCCCTGATGAAGTCACCCAGGGGATCCCGATCCTTTCATTCGAGCGAACTGCACAGACCCTCCGATTTTGTTTCGTAGTCGAAAATCAAACGGCCGGAACAACGATGCCTCCAAACGAAACCAAGCACTTCTTTCAACGTCGGCCAAAGTGTCATGCTCTCTTCTCATCGATGCCTTGGACCAGTACTGAATCGGTCAGAAGACGCTACCGCTCGATCACTCACGCTATGTGTGCCGCCCCGGCCCTGACCACGTGGCACAAGGAGGCGCGCCTTCTGTTAACAATCTTGAGTTTTCTAAGCCGTATGCATCCAATATTTCCTCATCCCTGACTTTGGGAACACCCTGAATTGCGACTTCAGAAGCCGCGATTGCGGTCCAAACTCCTCAACCTCTTAGGTGACACTGCAACAAAGAGCGAGCTAGCTCTTGCTCTTTCAGGCGAGCTCAGAAACTGGGCTACCTTTCCAACTTCTGGACTTCGTGGGTTACGCTGCAAAACCTAAATTGAAACCCCACTTTTTCGTTCAGGGCGATTACAGCCTCTCGGTCCAGCCCGCCGTCGCGGAGCTTCTGCTTTTCGACCGGAAGGAAATCATCGCCCACTGTCGCTGGCACGCCGAATTTGAAGAGCTTGCCAAGCGCAAGCGGGGCGCTATCATGGCGTGGCGGGCGCAGAAAGAGGTGAGATCTCGCTCATCGTCTTTCTCCGTCTTTCGGTCTTTTCTGACGACTTTGTTTTGTTTTCCCGCTTCGTTTCAGCTGTGTCTGAGGTCGTGATTGACCGATTGGTGCATGTGCCTTGTTGTTTACATGATCTACCTCCTAAGTGGTCCGAAAAACGCTGTAAGATCAGCTCTCAAATGGTTGAAAAGCAGAACGACTCTTTAGGTCGATGTCAAGGATTTCAAAGTCCGTGCTTCAGAAGGGAAATACGTGCTCAAGAGCGCTTTCACTGGTCAAGAGCGTGTAGCACTTTCTGCCCTCTTTTTTACAGCCGGGCCACTTTTGCCTCCACTTTGACGGGAGGAAAAGGCTTCACTCTTGCTTCCATAGTGTCAAGAACCTTTGAGAAGAGACACAATGGCAGTCACTGGTCTGCATTCTTCCCGTAGTCAAGTATCTGAGCTGTATTTACAACATCGGTTCTGCAGGAAGATAAGGCGGCCGCAGTGACTGCCGGGGCTGCTCCAGGCGACTAGTGTGAAAAAGTCCGAGAGGAGCCCGAAAAATCTGTATTGAGTACCTACTAAAATTCCGTGCCAATTCACACCCCTTGTCCGCAGGAAGATAAGGCGGCCGCAGTGACTGCCGGGCTGCTCCAGGCGACTAGTGTGAAAAAGTCCGAGTAAGAGCTCGAGAAACCTGTATTGAGTACCTACTAAAATCCGTGCCAATTCACACCCCTTGTCCGCAGGAAGAGAAGGCGGCCGCAGTAACTGCCGGCCTGCTCCAGTCGACGAGTGTCAAAAAGTCCGAAGAGGAACGGGACGAGGCGGAGCGCGCGGCCGAGCGGGAGCGGCAAAGAAAGCGGGCGCAGCTGCAACAATGGAAGGTACGGCTTAGTGCATTTCGGGGTTCTAGGGTTCGTTATCTTTACTGCTCTCACAACGGATGGAGGCAGAACATGGACTCTCAGTCAACCGTGGAAGCCCACTTTGGCTATAATCTGAAGGACTCGTAGACGGAGTTATTCACTGACGAAAGGACCTTTTGGAACCGTCGATCTGAAGGGTATAGTCTGGGGGCGTCCTCGAACGCGACCGGCAATCAGTTGGCGTTTTCCTCTTTAGGTCTTCAGTGCTTCCTGGCTTTCAGGTCCAGGTTTTAGTGCAGCGAAGCTGGAGCGGTGGAGGGAAGCGGAGGAGCTGCCGGAAATGGGAAGGAAGTACGTTTTACGAAAGATGCTCGTGACGTCACAAAACGTGCTCTCGGGCATCATTTATCTACTCTCCGAATCTCCTCTTAATATCAAGCAAACTGCTTGTGAATCATATAGTTGCTCATGACTCAAAAATTGTGCTCTCGGCGTCTTAAAGCGCGCTCTCGCTGTCATTGAACGTGCTGGTGACGTCAGCGAGTCGCTCCTTGCAGGCAGAAAAGGAGGCCGCCGAGCGGGAACGGAGAGACGCGGAGGCGGCGGCAGAGGCGCAGGCGCAGTCAGGAGCCAAAGAGGCGGAACAGCGGAAAAAGGTAAGAATTTTCTTTTTCTCTTTCTTTGCTTCTTATTTTCATCTTTTTTCGTTTTGGTGTAACTTGTCAATGGACAGCCGGAGGACATTAGCTTCAAGTGATTTAGCGAAATGAGGTTTTGATGGTACTTAGGGAGCGCCTGGTATCCTACGTGCTGAATGGAGGTCAAACGGTCCTCAATCGTGACGTCAGCATTCCCTGGGCCAGGTTTCAGTCAGGAGCCAGCTCCTCTTGAGTCGCCTTCTAAGACCAGGCCCTTATCGAGCTCATGGGCTACGGGAAGTTGAGGTGGAGTTTCCGGTCCACCCCCTCCGGGTGGGTCTTTTCGGCCACAAATCAGTGGGTTTTAACGCTCGGAGACTGAAACACCGGCTGTTTGATCTTGGAGTTTTCAAGCAATACGAGTCAATTTGAATAGCAGAAGTGGTATCTCTCGGAGCAGATCCCGATAATGTTGTGTCGGTCTTTAATAATTTTCTCAAAATCCGGGTCGTCGCAGACTGCAAACCCCATATCGCTTCGCATGGCCTTACCTCATCAAAATTTCTTTCCCGTCTCTGGAGAATCTGCGTCCCTGATTCGTAAGGCGCTAACGTCGGTTAATGACATCAGCACGCCCCGCCCTCACGTCAGGAAAGGGGTCACGTGCTGCCTTGTAACCCGTCTTGCGAATTCTCCTCGCGAGCAGCTTCGGCTTCATTTCGATTTTTATTTGTGGCTTAAAGTAGTATTTATTTTACAAGCCGTTCTGTGCGGGCCTTCATTTGTGTCCCTTCAATTTGTCGCGAACGGGTCTTTCGTATACACTGATTACTTTGTGTTGGTGTGGGTTCATTCACGGTTACGTCCAAGGTCTACTCATTGACACCAAACCTGCTTTCTCGTTTAGGCGCAACTAAGGGAGGCCGTAGCGGTGTTCAAAGAGAAGCAGAAGCAGGCAGAGGAGGAAAGACAGCGGACAGCGGAGGAGGAAGAGGAGCGGCGGAAACGAGAAGCGAGCGGGATCGAGGCCGAACTCAGGAGAAGGAGAGAACGGGTACGAGTGGATCTCTTATTCGGGGTGTCTTCAATGAGACTGCGCATCCGTTGCTGTTGAGTCGCCAGCGGAATGATCGAGTGTCCGATATGCGAAACTCAGAGTAGAAGGAAACGGAAGGAAAAAGCAAAACCGGACGATCAAGATCGCTGCCCATAATCGGGCGCAATATCTCGGGGTCGCAACGATGCATCCCAACTCAGCGGAAGCGTTTGGAGCATTGGATGTCGCGACACTTCAGGAATAGAAAGCCCAAACCAAACACTGAAAACCGAACCTTATAAAATCACCCGCTCCGCACCCGTACCCACCCTAAACCCCCAAACTAACCCTACCCGTCCCAGGCTGGTGATCTCACTATTCCTGAAGCTTACTATTCCTGAAGTGTCATTGCATGAGCATTGGGCGTTGGGAGCGTTGAGCGTTGTTACAGTCTCTGGGTTTATCTCAAGCTGGCGTCATCTGCTGACGAAAGGCTCAGAACCTCACAACAGTTTGCACAGCTGTCCGAAATTCCTGTGCGGCCCCCAGTAAGCAAGAACCGGGCACCGGCCGCCTCTTACGAACTTTGATTCGGAGGCACGTGCCAAACCGCTGACGTCACCAACCGCCCGGCTGCTGACGTGGCACGGCCTGGCGGCAGAGCTGCGGCCTCGCTTCCGGACTTTGATTACGATGTACGCGGTAATGGCTGACGTCACTGACCGCCTGGCTGCTGACGTGGCAAGACCTGGCGGCGGACTTCTGCAGCCCCCTCATGTTGACTTTGACTCGGAACGCACGTGCTAATCCGTTGACGTCACTGACCGCCCGGCCGCTGACGTTGCAGGACCTGGCGGCTGTATACGAGCGGCGGGCGTCCGAGCAGGATCGGGTGCAGCAGGAGCAGCAGCAGAAGGAGGCGCGCCTCGAGCGGCTGCGGAGGCCGGTGCAAATAGTCGTGGACCGGTGAGCAAAAGCTCTTTTCTTTTTACTTTTTTGTTTCTATTTCTATTTTTATTTCGTCCTCGTTCTTTTCGTATCTTCCACCAGATCTTGCTTTGACCTCCTTTCCTTTCCTGTCGCCTTCTTTGTATTCGTTAAACTTCCTTCTCCTTTTCGTCTACGACTGTCTTGTGCGCATAAAGCTTTCGAAGGCCGGCGCAAACTGTCGTGAATCTATGAGCTCCCTTCGTCGTCCTTTTTGTGTGTCCCTCTGTGTCCAATCTTCTGTCGTTTTGGTCGTGCTCGCACCAGTTTCAATCAGTTTTTTTGGCCCAAGAAACCCTCTTCTGGCTTGAATTCATACCGGGACTTCCTTTGCCCGAAACACGCTTGACACACAACTGCTCCAGAAGACAAGAGTCTACTGAGAATCTCTGCTGTCAGCATCGGCTTTCACTCCTGGACTAATTCAATGGGAAACGCTGGGTCGGTCTCCGCTTAAAGCAGTCTAGACCATTCCCGGCGATAAGCATGCTCAATGTAAGACTTTCTACTCTGTACATCAGAGCCGTGTCTCATGCCGCGGTTTCTTGTGCAGGGACCCACATCGTTTGCTCAAGGAAACGGCATCTCTTATCAATCGGAAGTCGCCTCAAGGAGAAGAGGAGTCCAAATTGTTTGTCGACAAGGTGGTCAACGTGCGGTATCACCAAACAAAGGCGCTACCGACTTGGAGGCAGGTGGAGAACTGACGTCACGCTGACCGCGATTTGCCACGTTTGGGGTCAACCGGGCAGAGTGTATCTTTGCTCGCGATGTCTGACTGCACGTCAATGTGCCTGCCAGCTCAATGTGTTCGTATTAGAGCTTGTGCAGGCGTGTAGCAGGACCCACGTCGAGACTCTGCACTCCATGCATGCCTGGCATGTGCCGTCTCAACATATACCCGAATTGAAAACCTCAGTACGCTTGCACAGCCCAGGTGCAACATGGTCACATATGATCAGTGCAGTGACACTGTGTGCATGCGCGCACAATAACAGCATGTCACGATATATGTGCGACATGAGGTCTCAATATACGTCTGCCGTCCTG